GGCCAGCTGCCAGAGCCCAGGACTCTTCCGTGCCAGTGAGGAGTGGGCAAGGGTAGCGAGAAGGAAAAATGGGAACAGCAGGAAGAAGACTTTCTGGCCTGGGGGACTTAGCAGGCCTGGGTACAGACCTCTCACTAGTGATGCCTGGCCTTGGGCGGAGGATTTATCCTGATACTTGGCTTTCTCCTCTGTAGATGGAGATACTGAATGGTAACAGAGTCAGTTGAGGGTTCTATGATCAGGTGGTTTAATCCCCAGGTCCAGTAAGTCGTGGGGATTGCTGTTGTTGGCTTTTCTTGTCAACAAGATGGTAGAACTGAGGCTGGGTCAGGCCGATTATGCCCTCACGTTGCTCCTACACACACACACACACACACACACACACACACACACACACACACACACACACACACACACCAGCAACCATCCACCATTTCGCGGTCCCGATTATGCCCTCACGTTGCTCCTACACACACACACATGCAACCATCCACCATTTCTCCACAGCTTTACAGGACACACACAAACACCCACCCACCCACCCACCAGCAACCATCCACCACTTCGCCACAGCTTTACAAGCCGGCCCATCATCTGAGCCATTTTACAGGTAAGGAAACAGAGGCAGCTGAGTGACTTGTCTAGGCCTGTGTAGCCTGCTGAGCTAGAACCTGAACCTCAGCCCTGCCAGGGATTTGGTCTCTGAGGGCTGACTGGCTTTCCTGTTCAAAGCTTCCGTGTATCTTTCAGATTTCAGCCCAGCCCAGAGCAGGAGGCGGTGGCAGCTACTGGCCTGCTCGGCACTCGGGAGCACGGGCAGTCCTGCTGCTGCTCTACAGGGAACACCTGGTGAGCGCTTGGTTGGTCCCAGGAATCAGGGGAAGTCGGGCCGCGGGGCGTGAGGCTCCTGGAGGAGCCTGGACCGGCCCCAGCACTGAACCTGCCTTGGTTCCAGAATCCTAGTGGCCGTAGCTTCCTAACCAAGGAGGAGCTGCTGCAGAGATGTGGCCAGAAAACCCCCAGGGTGAGCACCGAGATGGGAGAGGATGGAGCCCAGTGGCTCTGGATGAGGCCCTGAGACTTCTCTTCCTGGGCGCAAGCAGTGGTTTGGGGCCCTGGGAGCTGAATGTGCGGTAGTGCCAGGAGCTTTCTAAGAGTCTCCTCCCCTGCGGACAGGCGGCCCCTGGGAGTTCTCGACCCTGGCCAGCCCTCCGCTCCCTCCTCCACAGGAACCTGGTTCTCAGGACACACCAGCCAGCCAGGTAGGGTCAACTACAGGGGACACAGGAGGTGCAGGGGGGAGACGTGCATGATGTTCCACGCGGGGCCCTACAGTCGCCCAGCAATCTCAGGCCTCGTGCTGTTGAGATAGGTGGGGGAGGGGAGACCTTACTCCCAAGAGCCCCCGCTGTCGGAGTCCCAAGAGGGTCCGAGAGGCCAGGCGGTCAGTGGGAGGCAGGAGAGGGTACCACAGGTTACCAGAAGAGCAGAAAGGCTTTGCTGGAGGACACGGCATGTAGCGGGGAGAGACGCAGGAAAGGCGCTCCAGAGAGAAGGAGAGTTTGTCTGAGATGTGCTTATTGCAGACTGAGAAAGGTCCCTGGACAGGTCCAAAGGAAGCTGATCTGGGGAGAGAGAACCCGGCATGGGGGTAGGGGTGTGGAAGCCCCCAGACTTGTTTGTGCAGGGTCACGGAGGCTGGCCGGAGAGCCTGCCAGGTGTGAGTGAAAAAGGGAGGTCTGTGTTCATCTCCTCCACCTACCAGGTACTCACTGACCCCGGAGGGTCTGGAGCTGGCCCAGAGGCTGGCTGAGTCAGAGGGCCTGAGCTCGCTGGATGTGGGCATCGGACCAGAGGAGCCCCCGGGGGAAGAGCCAGAAGTGCCAGGAGCAGCCTCGGCTGAGCTGTGAGGAGGAAGGGAGTGAAGGGGACAACGGGGGGTCCCAGCCCTGTCTCCGGCAGCTCTGGCGGAGCTGCCCCACCCACTGTGGGTTGGGGGGCGGGGGGCTGCCGGGCACTGGTGTTCTGGCCTCAGACACACCACCACCCGCTCCCCGCCTCGTAGTGGTGCCAGTGAAGGGAGTGCGCAGCAGCTGTCACTGGAGCTCAGGCCTGGGGAGTACAGGGTGCTGTTGTGTGTGGACATCGGCGAAGCCAAGGGGTGAGTGGGGTGGGGGAAGCGAAGGAGAGGATGCTGGGAGGTGGCAGGGTCAGGTGTCCCGCTCTAGGCCTCTTGTCTCCCAACTCCAGGGCCGGGCACAGGCAAAAGCTGCTCCTCCAGCTACAGCGGCTGCATGTTGCCCACACAGTGCGCAAGCTGCACGTTGGGGACTTCGTGTGGGTGGCGCAGGAGACCAGGCCCAGAGACCCGGGTAAGGGGCATGGACGGAAAGGCAGGTAGCAGAGGCAGGGCCTGGGTGCAGGCGAATGCGAGCTGACAGAACCCTTCTTGGCTTCCTGGCAGAGAGACCCGGGGAGCTGGTCCTGGACCACATCGTGGAGCGCAAGCGGCTGGACGACCTGAGCAGTAGCATCATAGATGGCCGCTTCCGCGAGCAGAAGGTTCCCATGCTGGCCTCGCTGCGCGTCCCGTCCCGTCTGCTCTCGGGCTCCTCCTCGGCCCAGGGGAGCCCATGGCCCTTGCGGCTGGCCTCAGAGCTTCCATTAGAGCTGCACCCAAGCGGCCCCAAGATCCCAGCTGGAGGGTCTGGGCAGGGGGAGCACAGAGGGACTGGGCTGGACCGAGGAGCATATGCAAGAGCCCCCCCGGGCAGGAGTCTGGAATAAATAGGACCCAAAGCTTCGGGAGCGGGACCCAAGCAGCCCAGTCTCAGTACTGGCCACTGGGCTGTCTGCATAGTCAGAAAGGCCGTGTGTAGGCCAGCAGAGGTTTGAAGGACGGGCATCCTTCAGAGGTGGCAGAAGGGCTCTCCATGCGGCTATCCCAGCGCTAGCAGAGGCCGAGGTCGCTCAGGGACAGGCAGAGTAGCTAGGGAGGATGAGGAGGTGGGCTGGTGGGCCCAGGGTCCCATCACGATTCTGAGTGCGACATGATAGGCAGCTGGCACGTGGGCACCCAGGCCTGACCCTGCCTGCCCGTCTGCTTCCTCAGTTCCGGCTGAAGCGCTGTGGCCTGGGGCACCGCGTATACCTGGTGGAGGAGCATTGCTCAGCGGACAACCTCAGCCTTCCAGAGAGCACGCTGCTGCAGGCCGTCGCCAACACGCAGGTGAGCCTGGGGAGGGGCAGGGCCAGGCTGCCAGGGACCCTGTGGCCCACGGCCCCAGCCTAGAGCGCCCTCCTTCTCTTGGGCGGGCTCCCCTTCTTCCCCAGGTCATCGATGGCTTCTTTGTGAAGCGCACAGCCGACATTAAGGAGTCCGCTGCCTACCTGGCCCTTATGACGCGGGGCTTGGAGAGACTCTACCAGGTGAGGCGGTGCATTTGTCCTTGAACCCGGGGCTTCCCCAAGGAAGGCGAGGGAGCAGGACCTCGGCTTCTCAGGCTGGCCCACTGAGGCCTAGGATCGGGCAAGGACTGGCTGGGGGTTGTCCCCTAGAACTCCGTCCCGGCCTCAGTTTCCTCTTCCCTCAGGGCCAAACCCTACGCAGTCGCCCCTGGGGAACCTCAGGGAACCCTGAATCAAGGCCTGGGCCCTCCCCAAATCCTCTCTGCTCCCTCCTCACCTTCAGTGACTTCAACGCAGGAGCCATCAAGAACAAGGTACTGCCTCTCCCCAGCGCCTCGCCGTGTGGCCCGGCCCCAGACCATTCCTGGTAACAGTCCTCCCCTGTCCCAGGCCCAGTCAGTGCGCGAGGTGTTTGCCCGACAGCTGATGCAGGTGCGCGGCGTCAGCGCAGAGAAGGCAGCGGCCATAATGGAGCAGTACAGCACCCCTGCCAGGTAGGCCCGCAGCCCAGCCCCTCAGGGGTCCTCTGCCTCTGCCCTACCTGTGAGGAATCAGCTCAACCAGTGCTTTGTGGAGAGGCCTGGCTCTTCGAGGGCTGGACAGACCCGACTGAGTTCATGGAGGTCACATGGTGACCTAGGAGCCATCTAGGACCAGACAGTATCTCAGCCATTAGGAGAGCCTCCTGGAGGGAGGGCAGGAGGGAGACATTCTGCCGGGTGCAGCAGAGAAGGCTTCTGGAGGAGGGAGTTGGGCCGTGAAGACTGCGCCAAGAATGGCCATACTTGGAGAACATTTGCAGCCGCACGAAGGGACGGTGCACTGGATGGAACAGGGCCTTGAATGCCAGGCTCAGGAGGTGCAGCAGTGGTCCTGAGCCCTCTACCCCATGCTGACTCCTCCTGCCTCTCCCGCGTGATGCTGGCCTCAGCACTCGGAGTGGGCCAGCTGTCCGCTCTTGTCCACCTGTAGAAACTCAAGCACCCCACCCCTACCCCCAGCCTCCTGGCCGCCTATGACGCCTGTGCCACCCCCAAGGAACAGGAGCTGCTGCTGAGCACCATCAAGTGTGGCCAACTGCAGAGGTGACGGCAAGGAAAGGGACGCAGAGTGCGTGCCTGGGGCTGCGTTGCTCTGGCCGCAGGCCTGACCGTCAGCTGCCTCTCTCTCTGTGCAGGAACCTGGGGCCCGCTCTGAGCAGGACCTTGTCCCAGCTCTACTGCACCTACGACCCCCTGACCTGAGCCACACCGTGAGGCCGACCCCAGCCCCCACCCTCACAGGCTAGCCAGCCTTTTAATCGGGATCTTTTGGGCTACAATAAAAATACAAGCATTTGCAGTCTTACATATTTGCGGGTGCTGCCAGGCCCCAGGGGCCTTGTGAAGTATCGGCAGACACTGGGGAGACTGGCAGGTACAGCGATTTTTAAACTGAGCTCCTTCCTCAGCACCCTGGGGCTCCCTGGGAGCCAGCGGGCCACTGCTACTTTGAATCTAGTCCCAGGGCGTCAGAGTTTCCTGATCAAATAAAATTTCCTTTGACGAGAGGTTTTGTAGCTTGGAAAAGAAAAGCTTGAAAAGCACTCAGAGTCTAATTGCCTCATTTTATGGATTGGAAAATGGAGGCCCCAGGAAGCTCCTAGGGTTGAGCCAAGTTGATAGTCTGAGGCCAAGTTGGGATTGAAACCCAAGGTTCCCATGGTCTACAGTGGGGCTTCCCAGGCCCCCTGCAGACCAGTCAGGCCCGGCGTCTGCCGCCTTACTACCTCCCGCCTTCTCAGAACGAGTCTCATGTGCATGGTATGGAGACCAATCCCGGCTTTGGGATGCAATTCCCAGTTCCTATCCATGGGGCCCCCTCAGCCTGAATAGAGACACCCCCCTTTGGGCAGCCCTCCTCCCACAACCTGGCCCCTTCCCCAGTCTGGGGTGCCCTAGATGTTACCCATCCCCCTCAGCCACCAGGACTCCTTCTTTCTCCCTTTATTGCCTTTCTCTTTCTACTCTTCACAACAGCATCTTTCCTCTTATCAGAACACAGTTATCCCTGAGCCCCAGGCTCTTCGGCTACAGGAAACCTCTCCCTCCCTGAGGGCTCCCCACCCACACCTCAGAAAGTGTAGGCCCCCACGAAGACGGTGAGTCTCAGTACAGAGCTGGCCCGGTAGCTCATGAGGGAGTTCATGGTGACCATCTCCAGGTCCAGCACGTACTCCCGGGGGCCCGTCACAGGCCGGGCGAGGACCAGCATGGCGCTGACATTGTTGATTTGCTGCAGGGCACAGTGGGTGGGGGGACATGCAAACTGTATCAACCTATGTGCCAAGACCCTGCCCTGGCACCCCCTCCCTGTCCCGTTTCTTGCACCCACAACCAGTTTGCTTTGAAGTAGAAAGCCCTAGCCAGGCTGGGACTGCAGGCTTTCATCTGGCTCTGTGATACCCTTGGCATCGCGTCTCTCGTGCCCCCCAGGCCCCTGCCCTCAGAAATCTCCGACTGGTGGGGCGCCTGGGTGGCTCAGTAGTCTAAGCGTCCCAACTCTTGGTTTTGGCTCAAGTTGTGACCTCACGGTTCAAGTGTTCGAGCCCCGCATTGGGCTTCACAAAGACAGCACCGGGCCTGCTTGGGACTCTCTCTCTCTGCCCTTCCCCCTACTCATGCTGTCTCTCCCAAAGTGAAGAAATAAACTTAAAAAAGAAAAGATCTACCACTGGTATTCTTCCCACCCTTCGCATCTAGTTCTTTTGTCAAACGGGGGGGGGGGGGGGGAGGGCGGGGAGGTCAACTGATGATTCAGGGCCAGGTGGGAGGGTGGGAGACTCGGGAGCCATGGGGCCTTTGGTGACCTGGAGCAGGCAGACTTCCCTTTAGAGCATTCAGTTTGAGAAAGAGAAAACAAGGACTGATACCAGATAAGCCCTTGGGCCCCTCCCTCCTAATAGTTCCACCAGCAGAGAGCCGGGTGCTTGTACCGCAGGCCCCTGCACCAACCCCCACTGCCTCTTTCTCCGAGAGAGACCCTGCCGTGTCTGTTACCTGGGCTGGCCTCTCATGCAGTGCCTTGTTCTAAAGGTGAAGAAATTGAGGCCAGATATGGAAACCAGTGCAGGGACTCAAAACCCCAGTGTCCAAAGGCCTCGTTAGAATTATACTTAACAACCTGCGGTTTGTACCAAGGGAATTTAGAATACCCCTACCTTTCTACAGAAATTGCACCTCCCGGGGGGCGGGGCTTTGAGAGAAGAGGCGGGACATGGTGATAAAGCCGAGTCTCCAACTTACGGTTTCCTGGAATTCAATTTTGGATTATGCATGTCAGTTGAGGGGTGGAGTTAGGGGAAAGCCTTACCCTAATGTAGAAGTCCCCCTGCGAGTTTCCCGCACGGATCTGAAAGGCATTGTAGGCGCCAGGGTAGACCGAGGTCGCTTGGATCTGGAACACATCGGCGGGCACACTGCGCTCCGAGGTGATGCTCATGTAGCGGTGGACGATGGACGAGGGCTGCTCCCGGCACAGGGGGTTGGAGGCCGGACAGAGGCAGCGACTAGAGACCCCGAGATGGGGACACGAATGAGGTCCTAGCCCGTACCCCAATTTGGCCCCACCCCTAAAAAGGGGATCCCGAAAGGATCCACTCCTGCTAGAACAGTATGCATGGTTTAGTCATAAAGGACTACAACTCCCATCGGCCTGCAGGGCACTTCCCAGCCCAAACAGCAGAGCCCTCTGGGAGTTGCAGTTTCTGCGGGGAGGGCTGTGCGAGTGGACTCACTTGTCCGACACCTGGACGTAGGGCTCCACGCAGCGGTTGGTGTCCACGCAGCGGTAGCCCCCATGGAAGTTGACACAGGTTTGGGCCTCAGAGCACTGGTGCGTGCCCAACTCGCACTCATCAATGTCTGTGTCAGGGGAAAGGGGCTGGAACCCAGACATCAGGCCACCAGCCCCTGATACCACCCTACCCGCTGCACCAGGGCAACCTGTACCTTGGCAGAGGCGCGTGGCCAGAAGCTGGTAGCCCTGCGGGCAATGGCAGGAGAAGCGGCCAGGTTCATTGACGCAGCGGTACTGGCAGAGATAACTAGAGTAGCTGCACTCGTCAATATCTGAGGGAGAGAGGGGATGACGGCTCTGGGCCAAGGGCAGTCCTCTCTCGATTCAGTCCCACAAACGTTTACACGGACAAACCTGGCTCTATGTTGGGCTCAGCGTGGACAGATGAGGGGGATGAGACAAGCCGAGCAAAGCTCAGGAAGGGGACAGAGGACTCAAAGAAACATCTGCCCAGACTGCCAAGCTCACAGGCCTCTCTGCCCCCGCACTGCAAGACAATACTAAAGGAAAGCACTGCGAACCTACAGGCTTGGCTTCAAGTCTTGACTGAGTTTAAGGAACCTCAATTTCCCTGTCAAAAAAAATGAGCCTCGAGGGCCCAGCCCGCCATAGTTTTTGGTAACTCTCCCAATTCCTGTAGCCTACAAACAGCCTAAGCACACAGGCCCCTCCTACCAACCGTGAGCTGCATAGGCTTGAGCCAGGTTTTCTGCTCTGGCCATCTTCATGATGCCTAGCACCGAGCCGGGTACCAATGGGGCCTTACACAGCGGCAGCACATGACAGAAACAGGGCACATGGCCAGCCGACATGGAGCGAGAAGTGGAGCCCTGGTGCCATCTCACCCTAGCTGTATGATCTTGGGCAAGTCACTTAACCTCTCTTTGTTTGAAGGACTTTATGCTTACTTTTTTTTTTTTTTTTTAACAATCCTCCCACTAAACCTGGAGCGAGATATTACCATCCTCAATTTGCAGAGGAAGGAAAAATTCATGCTTACATCACAGGGTTGTTGGCAGGATTAAATGCAGCCAAGTACATACAGGAAATGCATCGCGCAGGCAAGGTTCTCAATAAATGGCAGTTCACCTTAAAACGCTGTGGCTTGGGGGGTGCCTGGGTGGTTCAGTCAGTTAATCATCCGACGCTTGGTTTCGGCTCAGGTCATGATCTCACGGTTCGTGGGACCGAGCCCCGTGTCGGGCTCTGAACTGGCAGTTCGGAGCCTACTTGGGATTCTCTGTCTCCCTCGCTCTCTGCCCCTCCCCAACTTGCGCTGTTTCTGTCTCTCTCAAAATGGATAAATACACTTAAAAAACAAAAACACAGCTTGGAACTTGATGAAGCCTGTCTTGTCATTTGCCCACTTAATCCTCAAGACAACCCATTTTACAGAAGTAACGGGCTCCAAACAGTGGCTTGCCCTAGTCCAGGATTTGAATGCAGGGCAACCTAACTTGCCAAAAGGGGAGCACCCACATCCTTTGTCAGTCTCCCCACTGAGCTTCGGTGCTCCCTACTGTTCACCCCCCAGGCTGCCCCCACCAGGCTGGGAGCTCTGGGGAGGAAGGTCCGCAGGTGCCCTGCAATCAGCTGGCGGCGGGGGGGGGGGGGGGGGGGGGGGGGGGGGGGGGGCGGTAGAATTCACAGGAGGGTCATGAGGACAGAACGGATGTGACACAGAGACATCAAATGGACTGTGTGGCAGGAAACACAGCATGACACAGGGCCTGGGAGACCAATGGCGGCACACAGGGTTGAAGCGGAGCTCTCACCATTGCAGGAGAAGCCATCCCGATGCAGCTCATAGCCCTGGTGGCAGCGACACAGGAAGGTCCCATAGGAATTAAAGCAGCGCTGCTCACACGGAGCCCCCATGTCACATTCGTTCACATCTGGAGGTGCAGGGGGAAACGGGAGTGGTGAAAGTCAAGGAGCAGCCCACTTTACCCAGGGTGGTCAGAAAGGGAGCTCCTCTGCCCCACACCACCCTGCCCAGGACCCAGGAGCTGGCTTGGCCCAGCCCGGCCTCACCTACACAGGAGCGGTTGTTGGGCCCCAGCTGGAAGCCTGGCTCGCACTGGCAGCGGAAGGAGCCGGGCAGGTTGACACAGCGGTGCTGGCAGTAGCGATAACGGCACTCATCGATATCTGGGGTGGAGGAAGAGGGAGGGCGGAGGGCACAAGTCAGGTGGGCCTCAAGGCCTCACCACTGATACTTTTTTTTGAGAGAGAGAGAGAGCGCACATGCACCCGTACACCTGCAAGTTGGGGAGGGACAGAAAGGAGGGGGTAGATGATCCAAAGTGGGCTCTGAGCTGCCAGCAGAGAGTCTGATGTTGGGCTTGACCGTATAAACCGTGACATCATGACCTGAGCCAAAGTCAGATGCTTAACTGACTGAACCACCCGCAGTCTTGCCTGGGTCTAGGGGGCTGGGTTGGGCCAGGGCAGCCAGGACTCACACACGTACCCTCACAGTGCTATGACTGGGGACGGGAAGCAGAGGTGGCGGGGAAGTGGGGCAAAGCCTGACGGTGGGCTGGAATAGGGGGTCAAGTGCAAGGGTGACAGCCAGGCTAAGGGCACAGGGCAGAGACTAGAGAGTCTATTCCCCGGACTTACCCACACATTCAGGCCCAATCTTGCGGTAGCCATCGGGGCAGGTGCACTGGTAGGAGCCAGGTAGGTTATGGCACTCCTGGCTGGGGCGGCAGTCATGTAGGGCCTGGGCACACTCGTCCACATCTGCAGGGGACACCACTCAGTCCCCACTTGGGAGCCCACACACCACCCAACATGACAGACACCTCACCACGGAGGACACAGGTCAGGTACCACTTGCCTGGGTGTGTGAATAAAACCAGAGCTCCCAAAACAGTAGCTCGCGGATTAGACCCTCCCAACAGCACAAATGATGGTCTGTCAGCCCGGGAGCCAACGGGAAAGGCACCCCTACCCTGTGGGATTCCCATGCCGGAGGGGCACAGGAAACAAGGCCCCGCCCATAATCCCAGGCACACTGATTCCAGGCCCTTCCTCCAAGGCCCACGGCACCCAGGGGTGGGGTCCAGATCAGGAAGCCAGTCGAGGACAGAAGCTGAGAAGCAGAGCTCCTGAAGTATGTGTCCAGCAATCGGGGAGGGGGCTCCAGACGGTGGCTGGAGCGGTGGGACAGGGGCGGGGGGCCACATGCGGCAGGCCCCACGCAAAGCGAGGATCTGGATGGCGTCCCAGTAGCCCTGAAGAGGCTTTCAAGCAAGGGAGCAACTGAGGTCTGAGTTTTTAAGATGCAGTGATAGATGCCTGGTAGGAGGACCGGAAGTCCCCGTGCGAGGGTGACCCTCACTCACCCACACAGCGCTCTTGCTCGTCGGGTTCATAGCCTGGTAGGCAGGGGTTGGGGTGTTCGGCAGGGGGCACCGGTGGTGGCGGTCCCTCGCCATGCAGGTCATTGATGACAGCAGCTGAGCGGGGCAGGCACAGGTAGCCCCCATAGTGGTTGATGCATTTCATCTCCCCCTTGCAGGCCTCGGGGATGGTCAGGCACTCGTTGACATCTGTGGAGAGGGGCCTGCTGGGCACAGCCAGTCTCCTGGGCTGGCCGTGGGGTGGGCGGCACGCAGGAGCCCAGCCTGGCCTTCTAAAAACTGTGTGACCCAGGCAGGGCCTTCCCTCTCTACTCAACTAGCTAAAGTTGCTTGCCCAGGACCCTTTCCCAAGGACTGCCAGGGCTGGTGGTGGGGCGGGGTGGCTGTTCCCATAGTCTCCCCTGCCCCCATTCTCTTCCCCCAACAGGGTCTCTAGCCCTCCCCAAAGCCCTTAGCCCTGGCTCGGCCCAAGAGTGATGTGCAGGCCTCCTTACCCACCCCACAGACACCGCCCTCCCGGGACATGATGGGACAAACCAAACAGGAAAGTGATTAGAGGTCTCCAGGACCCAGCTCCTCTGGGCAGTGCCCTGTTGCTCTCCTGCCTGCTGAGGGCTGGGGGCAGGGTGTCTTGAGTTTCCCTGAGAGGGAGGGGCCTGCATGGCTTCTCCTCCCCTAACTGAGCTGGCCCCCAGAGGATCAGAGCTGGCCTCCGCCAAGCCAAGCTCGGCAGAGGACAGGCATCGGGCTCCCAGTGCTGCTCTGGGAGCTGAGGCTGCAATCCCCTTCCCAGTTCCCGGAGTCCTGGGCGTGGGTCCGTCCCCCAGGCAACACTCACCCCGGCAGTGCTGGCTGTCGGGGTCCCACTCATAGCCATCTGTGCATTCCTACAAAGGGACCAGAGATGGCCAGTGGTCCTCCCCAGTCCCCTTCAAATGACCAGGCCAAGATCAGGGCCTGAGCCTGGCCACCCTCCCAGCCTGCTCCAAACAAAGGCCCCCCAGCCACTTCACCAACCAGGGGAGGGGAGAGTCGTCCCGCAGCAGCAGCCACCCCAGGATCCTCATCTCTGTGTCCCTGCCCAGCCCAGCCCAGGCCAGTGGCCCCACGGTCCCCACCGTGTAGCTGTCGGGCTCCTCCGAATCCTGGGGAGATGCTGCCCCCAAAAGTAACAGCAACAGCGCCCAGAGCAGCAGGGAGCCGGGGAGGCACGAGGCGAAGGGGAGCATCCTGGGGCTGGAAAAGTGGTGGGCGAGGGGGTGGGGCGGGAGGTGGTTAGGGAACTTCTGCCACGCACCCCCCATTCCCCGCACCAGGATTCCGCGCCCGGACCCCGGCCGCCTCCCGCTCGGGACAGTGCTTGGGGCCCCGGAGCTTCCCAGGGCCGAGGGCCCACTCCTCCCGCAGGCCGGGGTTCGGGGCCCACCCGCCCCGGGGCCACCCCGCCCCCGCCCGGTCCCCCAGTGGCGCGGGCCGACGAGCGCGGGCCTCTCGGCTCTGCGCTGACGCCGACTCGGCCGAGACTCCGGCTCGCGCCCTCCCCCCACGGACGGCCACTCACTCGAGCCCGCGACGCCCCTGCGGCCCGGGTCTCCGGAGGCTCGGCTGGTTCGGGCAGTGCCTGCGGGCAGCCGGACGGGCGGACGGCGCAGCTCCCTGGACGCGCGGCCCCAGGAAGCGCCCCCCGCCCGCCCGCCCGCCGCGGCGCGGCCCACCCCGGCGCCTCTGCCCGCCCCTCGGCGGATTCCTGAGCCCGCGCCAGGGGGAGGGACCCCGACCCCCCGCTTCTCCGCCCCCGGCCAGCCGCAGGCCCCCACCCGGTCCCCCGCGGCGCTGCCCGGAGCCGCCTCCCGGCACAGGGCCAGGGTGCCCCTAGCGCCCGATCCTGGGGGCACGGCCTTGATGCCAGGGCCCCCAGACTCAGCCAGGGGAACCCGCGGGCCCTCACTTTGCGCACCCCAGAATGTCATCCTGCGCACCTGGACCCTACCTAATCCGGGCTCCTCAGATTCCATCCTGTGCACCCACATCTAAATGCCGGGGCCTCCACACTCTGCGCCTCCCAGAAAGACGTCCTGGGCACCTAGACCCCACCTAATCCTGGGGCTTCCAGACCCTCACGCTACGCCCTCCAGAATTTTATTCCGTGTACTCGGACAGTCACTCTGTAAATACTAAAACTTCATTCGGGGTCCCCAGGCCCTCGCCTGGGGACGAGACGCTCCCAGGCCCAGAACTGTTCACCTCTGTCCCTTCTCTCCTCCATCCCTGGGCCGTCAGCCAGGCGGTCCCTTCACTCCAGGCCCGCCTCCTCGGAACAATCTATCCGGGCAACTCCAACTGTTTGGGAGAGGGGGCGGCGGTTCCCTTTTGGCCCAGAATGAATGGAAGCCCCTGAGAAGGCGGGCAGGGCTGAACTTGGGCGCACAGGACGCTAGGGTCCGCCGCCAGTGCCTTACCGGCCCTCCTCCCAAACGCACCCCCAGCCCTCCCCCGCCACCTCCGGGCTCTGCCTTCTCTCCCAAGCAGGGCGCGCCTTTCGGGGAGGAGTTTAGGCGGAGTTGGCTCCCAGGAAGGGGCGGGGCCTCTCCCTGCCCACGTCTCAGGGCGGGGCCAGACGGGAAAGGGCAGCGAGTGCAGACGTCTCCCGCGTCGGGCCGAAGACGTGCAGGAACTGTCGAGCCCTCCCTTCCCTTTCCCACCCTTGTTTATCCTCAAGATCGCCCCCAGTGCGGCCCCGCCCAGGGAGAGGGGGTGCCGGTGCGGGCACGTGGGTACCGATATCAGCCCTTGGGGTTCAGGGTGAATTGAAGAGTGTACCCCCCAGCCCCTAGACCCTTCCCAGCCACTGGGGCGAGGAGGCTAAAAATAATAGTTCTTTAAAGCCAAAAAGACAGACAATAACAAGTGTTGGCGAGGTTATGAAGGAATTGGAACCCTCAAACACTTGGACGGGAAGTAAGATGGTCCTCTTTGAAAAAGCTTGGCCGGACCTCAAAATGTTACCACATGACCCAGAAATTTCACTGCCATGTGTATATACCCAAGGGAATTGAAAGCATATGTCCATAGGAAAAGATCTATGCACAACATTCATGGCAACAGTATCCATAAGAACCAAAATGTAGAAGCAATCCAATGTCCATTAATTGATGAATGGATGAACAAAACGTGGTAATACGATGAAATGTTATTCTGTCATAAAAAGGAATGAAATACTGATATGTACTACAAGGATAAATAATGAAAATATTACACAAGGTGAAAGAAACCAGACACAAAGGTCCTCATAGACCATGCATGTGACATCCAGAATAGACAAATTAGGGTTTGCCAGGGGAAGGGAGGACTTTATGGACATGGGTTTCTTTCCGGGTGATGAAAATACTCTGAAACCAGATGGTGGCGATGGCTGCACAATTATGCAAATACACTAAAGCCACTGAATTGTATACTTTATATTTTTTTAATGTTTATTTATTGACTTCTGAGAGATAGAGACAGCATGAGCAGGGGAGGGTCAGAGAGAGAGGGAGACACAGAATCTGAAGACAGGCTCCAGGCTCTGAGCTGGCTGTCAGCACAGAGCCCGACGCGGGGCTCAAACCCACAAACCATGAGATCATGACCTGAGCCAAAGTCGGATGCTTAACCAACTGAGCTACCCAGGCGCCCCTGAATTGTATACTTTAAAAAGGTAACTTTTATGGCATGTGAGTTATGTCTCAACAAAGTGGTAATGAAAAAAGAACTAAAATAATGGTTCTTGGGGCACCTGGGTGGCTCCGTTAAGTGGCCGACTTCGGCTCAGGTCATGATCCCATAGTTTGTGAGTTGGAGCCCTGCATTGGGCTCTGTGCCGTCAGTGCCGAGCCTGCTTCAGATCCTCTGTTCCTCTCTATCTGCCCCTCCTCCACTCTCGCTCTCTCTCAAAAATAAACATTAAAAGATAAAAATAACAATAGTTATTACTAAGACATATAACCTTTCTGGGAACCAGCATGCGCTTCACGCAACCTTCCTGCCAAGCCAGGGAAGGGGTGCCGTCATCACCCTATTTCTCAGACGACAGAGGCTGAAATTTGTCCAGGCACAGCCAGAGTGTAAGGACAGGATTTGAACTCAAGTCACTCTGATTCCAAGACTCTCTGGGCTCTTTGCTCCAGCGTAGAGTATTAAGAACCCACCATTTGAACACCTATTCTGTGCCAGCCAGTGTCACAGATGCTCCATGGTCATTCCACTCAAAGGAATTGTTGCTGCCACTTTGAGATGAGGACCCGAGGCTGAGAGGGGAACGGCTGCGTGCACAGGTGGCGAGATCTGAACCTCCATCTTTGTGCTCAGACCTCAGTGCACTTGCCGCTCGGACTTGCCTCCCTGCAACGCTTCTCCTCACCTCCAGGACATTGACCTTCCCTGCCCTCACCCCTTCTGCGCTCCATCTGGCCCCTCAGGCCCACCCAGACCCCTCATCCCCATCCCTAGACTGTGGTAAGAATGAGGAACAGAAGGCAGTGGCTGCCACTTACTGTACCCTAGAGCCTGAACTTTCCTGTGTAAAACCCATAACAACCAATTGTTCGGTCTGCAAACATCCAGGCTTGCTCTGTGCCCCAGCCCCGTGCTGGGTGCTGAGGACACAGGAACATCAGTCGCCTCTGGCGTGGCTGGGAGGCAAATGCCGAGTGCAGACAGGCACAGCAGGGGCTCCAGGGGCCAGGGGCCAGACCGGAGGATGGGGAGAAGGGAAGGCTTTTTGGTGGGTACCCTTGAGGTGACTGAGCTACAGGACGACCAAGAGTGCCTCTCCAGGGGACACTGACCGCCCTCCACCCCCACCCGGGTGTCAGGAGCCCATGGGATCCATAGCCCCCTGGGTTTCCCTGTCACGACACTGATGGCCGTACACTGTCACTGCTCACTTAGGAGCTGTCTATTCCTGTTTCCTTAAGGACAGATCCACCTTTATATCCCTAGAATTGTCCAGAACTGGGTGGGCAGCGGGCCTCTGCTGAATAAAGAAAAAGGGTGGAGTGGGGAAACAGGCAAGCAGAGGGCTGGAGAAGACAGAAGCCTGAAGGTCTGAGGCGGCTTCTGTGTTCCGATGCCCACCCCTCCCAACCTGGTTTCCCCTTCGTGGTTTCTCCAGCTCCACCCCCTCAGCCCCTCCAGAGTGGTTTGCACAGCTTCCTGCTTCCAGTACTCTGCCGGCAGCATCATGGCAATTGCCGTCTCCCTTTCCTGCCTCCTGGCCCTGTCTGTGGCCGGCCTGGCCGGAGGCGTCAAGGGCTCCCTTAGGAGCCAGGTAAGTGCCCCCCGCCTTCTTCCCATACCCTTCCTTTTGCAAATCCCATGCCCAGGCCTCACCCTTTCAGAAACAACAGCCTTATTCCCATTTCTCAGAGGGGGCAACTGAGGCTGGAAAGGTGATTGCCATGCTGAGGGAGACAGAGCAGGCTGAGCTGCTGATCCCCCGCCCAATTCCTGCAAGGCTGGGAGGCGAGGTGTGGTCCCAGCGATGACTCCTCACCTTCTCACGGCTCTCCCCTCCCACCCTCCACCCGGCCCCCTTGGTTCCCTGCCAGGACCCAGGACCCCAGCCGCTGGAGCTGAAACAGGTCTTCACCTTGTTCCAGATCCAGTACAACCGGAGTTACTCAAACCCAGAAGGTATCAGGGGGCATGTACAGCTCCAGTCCAACCCCCTTTCTCCCATTTAATAGATGAGAAAATCAAGACTCGGGTGGGGAACAGGCTTGGCCAAAGGCACTAAGCATGACAGCGGCAGGGCTGGAGATTGTGCTCCCTGGTTTCCTAAATGTACACGTGGGGACGGGATCGTTCTTTGCTATGAACTTGGAGGGCAGGTGGCAGCTGTCGGGGGTCTGCCCCAGGCGGAGAGGACCCCCTTGCCTCCAGAGCCACTTTTCCTGTGCCTCCAGGCAGCGGGCTGTGCCATCATGAGTTCACTCAGAAACACCAAGCTGGAAACTCTCCACCCCAGGAGGCCACAGCCCTGCTCCTGCTCTCTCTCTGGGTCTCATCTTCCACTGGGGGGCGGGGGGTGGTCTGGGGACACCTTTCAGGCCAAGCTGCCCATGCCATGGGCCTGTACCCCCCCTCCTCCCCCACCTTCATCATGTTTCAGCTCCAAACCTGCAATCAGAGGTGTGAATTGGAGGTGGCAGCATGTAACCTGGCAGGAAGCCAGTCTTTGATCACCCACTTTTCCTTTCTGAGTCACTTTGCCTTCAGACCCTTTACTTATCTTCTCCGTGGGTAGGCAGAGATGTCCCTCCTTGCTGCCTCGGGGTGGGGTGGGGGGAAAGATAGGCCAGGAAGCCACTTCCTTGGCCCACAGGTCTGCAGTGGGGCCTGCAGGGGCCACAAGAGAGGAGCGAATGCTCACCTGGGTGAGTGTGGGAGGTAGGATGCCTGGCCAGCGGCCACTTCCTGCCCACGGGGGCTGGGAGGCAGCCTAGGACAACCCCCTTTCCGGCCAGAGTATGCACGTCGCCTGGACATCTTTGCTCGCAACCTGGCCCAGGCCCAGCAGCTGGAGGAGGAAGACTTAGGCACGGCCGAGTTTGGGGTGACTCCATTCAGTGACCTCACAGGTAATGGACACTTCCCGGACCTGAGGTGGGACGTGGGGAGGCAGTGACTTCCCTGGGGATACTGGCAGGTGGACAGGGGAGACTTTCAGCTTTCTCTTCCCAGAGAGGGACCCCGGGGACCAGAGTTGTGTGGCCCAAATCACAGACAGCACGGGCAGGTCTGGGCCCCAGTCCGGTTCAGGGGTGAGGCGGCAAGTGTGTGTGTGGGGGTGCATCCTAGGAAGAAACCTGGCTTCTCTCTGGGCCCCGACACCCCTGCCTGCCTCCTAGGGGGTTATGGGGACTCAAATAACCGAGAATGTGGGTGGTTGGAGTGTGTGAGGCAGACTGTGGGGGAGAAGGGGACAAAATGGTGACCCTGGTGGCCCTGCCTATCCCGCAGAGGAGGAGTTTGGCCGGCTCTATGGGCGTCGGAGGATGGATGGAGAGGCTCCCAATGTGGGCAGAGAGGTAGGGTCTGAGGAGTGGGAGGAGTCCGTGCCCCCAACCTGTGACTGGCGGAATTTGGATGGAGTCATCTCATCTGTCAAGAAGCAGGTATCTGCCCCAGCACGGCCTAGTCCAGCCCTGGTTGGGGGGGGTGGGGGGAGGGAGGAAGGGGGGCAGGGGTGAGGCCCGGAAACCTGCTCTGCTGCCCTCCTCCTGCAGGAAAGCTGCAACTGTTGCTGGGCCATGGCGGCGGCAGGCAACATCGAGGCCCTATGGGGCATCAGATACCACCAGTCTGTAGAACTCTCTGTGCAGGGTACGGCTGACCAGAGTGGGGCCGGTGGGGGGGGAAAGGGGGGCACGGGGGGCCAGGGCACAGCCCACCCACATTGTC